CTGCTGAAGCGGCCGAGCTTGAGGCCCGGTTGCAGCAGAGTGAGAATAAAGTGATGGCCCACATCCAAAAAGCCACACAGCTACATGCACAACTTCAAGATGCTAAGGCTAGGTGGGCTAAACTTCAGGATGTTGTTCTTGTTGATGCCGAGCGCGAGTCTGCTTCCGTTGAACAGGTGAATAATTTGGAGGCAGTCTTGAACTCCAAAACCGAGGAGGCTAATACCTCCGAGGAGCGGGACCGGATGGAGGAGAGATTCAAGAAATTCATGGATCAAAATCGGCTTCACTTTTCCACAATCCATGATCTTGATTCTAGCCTCATTGCCAAGAGATCCGAGAGGGACGACCTGTTGGACGAGGTTGACAGACTTAAGACAAAGCTCCAACACCAAGGGAATTCCCTCATCTTTGAAATTACGTACGTTATGTATCATATGAGGAAAAAAAACCTTGAAGGAGGACAAAGGGGGCATTGTTGATATTGATGATGAAAACGCCAAGGCTCGAGCACTGGAGTTAACTGCTCGAGAACGTCTCCCGGCTCAGCCTGATGCAATTGACTCTTCGAGTACCGGTTTTGAGTATGCGAGAACTGAGAAGGAACTTTAAGAGAATGATGATGAAGGCCCAGGTCCCATACTGGCGGCTGATCCGCCCACTTCTCCCGGGGTGTAGATGCCTCTCTCCCCCGAGTTTCGGTGGCGATAATGTTTAGATTTTTCCTCTTTTATTTTGTTATTTTTTTTGTACTTTTGTACTTATGCCGTTTGGCATTTTGATAAATAAAGAAGAATTTTGCTTAAGTATTGCGCAAAGTTTTATTCTTTTTGCATCGAATTAGATAAGGCCTCGGGTGTATTTTTGTTTGATAGCTTTATGTTCTGGGCATAAACTCTTCCAAAACCAACCCTTTACTATGAGGGTTTCATAAGAGAGGTCCCTCTTATGTTTACGGTGCTCTTGAAGAGGACGTCTCATGTTCATTCTGGCACAAGTATTTGAAGTTTTCTATTAACTTTCAATTGATAAAATTAACTCATCGTTTGGACAAGAAACAAGATAAAAACAAAAGGACTTTATTTTATTCCTTCCATCTTTAAAAGTACATAAGAATTCAATTTCTAAAGAAAAGAAATTCCCAATACATGTGGATAACTCGTACAACTTGTTCTATGGGACTGGCCATGTAGTCCCCAATCCCGATGAGACATTGTTGTTCCCGGGTCTAGTAGTCCCAGTTTTCGTGGCATCCTTGTTGCCGTATCCAATATTATTCCCTCCCCCACCCCCAGTGTTCGAATGCGAAGTATGCGAATTGGAACACTGGAGGTCTTGCTACGTTGGTTAAACACTTGTGAATGGTTGGATAGTCTTTGGTTCGATGGCAAGTTTTGTTTCCCATTAGGAACTTGCCATCGATCCAAAGATTATCTAACCATCCCATAGTGGTTTATGATCTCAATGCCTTGTTATTTAAAGGTCTTAACTTTGCTGATGATGCTCCCTTGGTAGTATGCTTTCCGTTGCTGCCTCATTAAAAACCTTGCCAGAAAAACCCGATTGGGACAAAAAACTGGTCGAATGGAAAAAGAGTGCACCACATACTTTCAGTATAGGTAGGATCCATCAGCACTTATACCTTTTGAGGTGAGTCACGTTCCAATTACTGGGCAATTTGACCCCATCTTGATTTTCCAGCTCGTATGATCCTTTTCCGGTGACAGCTGAAACCAGGTAGAGACCTTCCCACGTCAAACCCAGCATCCCAGCATTGATTTCCCGAGTGTTCTGAGTTACTTTCCTCAAAACCAAGTCTCCTACTTTAAAGTAGCGGAGATTGGCCCTCCGGTTATAGTATCTTTCCATCATTTGCTTCTGAGCCACCATCCCCATGTGTGCAAGTCCCTGCGTTCATTAAGTGGTTCCAGCTTCACCAGCAATGCCTCATTATTTGCTTCTTCATCTATTCGGGAGAACCGTAAGGTTGGTTCTCCTACTTCAACCAAGATCAGAGCTTTCACGTCGTATACGAGAGAGAAATGTGTCTCTCTCATGCTTGATTTTGTCGTCGTCCGGTATGACCATAGCACGCCCAGCAACTCTTTGGACCACTTGCCTTTAGCCACTTCTAACCTCTTTTTGAGGTTTTGAATAATCACCTTATTGGTCGACTCCGTCTGCCCATTAGCACTCGGATGGTATGGTAAGGATGTAATCCTTTTGATTTTTAGGTCTTCAAGAAATTTTATGACTTTAGAGCCTATGAATTGCGGTCCGTTATTGCAGGCAATCTCCTTTGGTATTCCGAATCGGAAAATTATGTGTTCCCATAGGAAGTCGATCACTTCGTGCATACCGATCTTTTGTCAAGGAACTACTTCAACCCATTTAGTGAAGCAATTGGTTAAAATTAAAAGGAATCTTACCTTTACGGGACCCGGTGGCAGCAGACCAACTATATTTATCCCCCATTTCATGAATAGCCATGGGGACAGTACCGAATGCAAGAGTTCCACCGGTTGATGCACCAACTGTGCATGGCACTGACATTTGTCACATTTTTGAACGAACGCCTTTGCGTCTTGCTCCATCCGGGGCCAGTAGTATCCTGCCCTAACCAGCTTTAGCACCAATGAATCTGCACTGGAATAGTTCCCGCAAATTCCTTCATGGACCTGTCTCATCACATGGTCCACCTCCTAGGATCCTAAACATCGGGCCAACGGGCCTTGGAAAGATCTCCAATATAATTGTCTAGCCAAGAGGTTGTAGCGAGCCACTTTGGTGCGTAATGCCTGGGACGCCTTCAGATCTTCGGGCAACTTGCCATGCCGAATATACTCGATGAATTCATTCCTCTAGTCCCAAACTAGGTTGGTTGTATTTACTTCATAATAGTCATCAACATCCAATACCGAATGCATAAGTTGAACGACAGTACCAGCGTCAGATCATTTCATCTTCGTAAATGACCCCAAATTTGCCAATGCATCTGTTTCCACATTCTCTTCCCTCGGAATATGTGTGATTGACCATTCCCTGAATCGTGCAAGCAATGCATGTACTTTGTTCACATACTGCTGCATGGGTTTCTCCTTTGTGTCAAAAATTTCGTACACTTGGTTTACCACTAGCTTGGAATCACACTTGATCTCTATGACCTCGGAGCCAAGTTACCAGGCCAGTTCGAGTCCTGCAACCAAAGACTCATACTCGACTTCATTGTTAGTTAACATAACAGTTTTAATGGCTCGCCTCAGGGTTTCCCCCGAGGGCATGATTAGAACCACCTCAAGCTCAGACCTTTGCACATTAGAATCCCCATCCGTGAACAAGGTCCAAACTCCTGATGTCGTTTCCGACACCAGCACCGCTTCTTTAGTAGCCAGGGGAAATAAATCAGGACTAAAATCGGCCACAAAGTCGGCCAAAACTTGTGATTTGATCGTAGTCTTGGGTTTGTTTGTAATCAATATCAAACTCACTGATTTCAACTGCCCATTTCGCCTACCGGCCTAATAACTTAGGCTTGTGAAGAACATTCTGTAAGGGGAATGTTGTCACAACGGCTATTGGGTGACACTAAAAATAAGGCCTAAGCTTTCGAGAGGTGACTATGAGAGCTAAGGCCAATTTTTTGAGGTACGGATAACGAGTCTGTGCTCCTGACAAAATTTTGCTAACATAAAAGACAGGAAATTGCGTACCTTTGTCCTCCTAGACTAGAACGGCACTTACCGCTACCTCCGTGACTGCTATGTATATTAGCAATTATTCACCTTCCCCCGGTTTTGATAGTAGCAGAGAACTTGATAGGTAATGTTTCAGGTCTTTCAAGACCTGCTAACATTTTGGAGTCCATTCGAAATTGTTCTTCTTCTTTAGAAGTGAGAAGAAGTGATGATATTTTTCGAGGATCGAGAGATAAACCTGCTTAATGCGGCCAATCTTCCGGTTAGCCTTTGTACTTCTTCTACGCTTGTCAGCTGGTCCGAAATGACTTTTATGGCTTTGATCTTATCGAGAATTACTTCGATCCCTCTTTGTGAAACCAAGAAACCCAAAAACTTCCCGGATCCAACCCCGAATGCGCATTTTTCCGGGTTGAGCTTCATATTGTGCTTCCTCAAGATATTGAAGGTTTCCTGGAGGTGCTTTAAATGATCATCTGCATTCAAAGACTTGACCAACATGTCATCGATATACACCTCCATTGTTTTACTTATTTGCTTTTCAGACATCTTGTTCACGAGCCTCTGATAAGTGGCTCCGACGTTTTAAGTCCGAAAGGCATCACATTATAACAATATGTGCCAAAGTTCGTTATGAACGAAGTTGTTTCCTGATCCTCCTGGTTTATCTTGATTTGATTGTACCCAGAATAGGCATTGAGGAAACTCATTAACTCTTGCCCGGTCGTTGTATCAATCATTTGATCAATGTTTGGCAATGAGAACGAGTATTTAAGGCATGCCTTATTCAAGTCTTTATATTCTACGCACATTCGAAACTTGTTATTCTTTTTCGGAACAACAACTATATTAGCTAGCCATTCGGGATACTTCACCTCCCGGGTTGAACCGATGTCAAGCAGTCGAGTTACCTCTTCTTTAACAAACCTATTTCTGACCTCGTCTATCGGGCATTTCTTTTACCTTATTGGAGGGACGCTCGGGTCCAGGCTTAGTTTGTGAACGACCACCTCTACTGGGATATGTGTCATATCCGAGTGCGACCATGAAAAATAATCAACGTTAGCTTTAAGGAAGTTAATAAATCCTTAACTGAGTTCGGGATTAGGTCATGTTCCCAAGTGAAACTTCCTCTCCAAGAATTTCTCGAACAGAGCCACTTGCTCGAGTTCTTCTGCTGTGGACTTGGTTGTGTCCGTCTCTTCCGGTACCTGTAAGTATCTCGGTACCTAGTGGAATTCCAACGACTCCCCACCTTTATCGTCTTCACTTGGCATGGGAGAAGGCGTCAGTTCCTATTAATTGCTATTTGCTGGGCTCCTTCCCCTTACTACTGGAAATTGATATTGCATTTATTTCTCTTGTTGTCGGTTGGTCTCCTCTTATTTGCTTGATTCCCTTTGGGGTCGAGGATTTCAGTAGTTGGTGATACATTGATGGTACGGCCTTCATCTCATGTAACCATGGACTACCGAGAATTATGTTGTAGACCATGTCATCGTCCACCACTTCAAATAAGGTAGTCTTTGTTACCCCTTCGGCGTTCGTAGGCAGCAGGATATTTCCTCGGGTTATCACACTTGCCAAGTTGAACCCGGCAAGGAGCTTTGTTGCCAGAATGATACTTCCGGTTAATTTGGCTTGTTCAAGTACTTTCCATTGAATTATGTTGGTTGAGCTTCCTAGGTTAACCAAAACACGCTTAATCTTGAAATCTAGAACATTAAGAGAAATTACCAGGGCATCATTATGCGACAGAAGAAGTCCGTCTGCGTCTTCCTCTGTGAAGGTGATGTCGTCTTCGGAGACTTCTCGGAGTCTCTTGTTATGGGTCATTGATACCTTTATCTTCTTGTCCGCCGAGAAGGTTACACTGTTGATTTCATTCCCTCCAAAAATCATGTTGATAGTCAACCGAGGAAGGTCTTATCCTATCTTCGAGGGTCTTGCGTTGTCCCAGCTGCGGCCGTAATTGTTCCTGGAACAGTCACTCAAGAACTCCCTGAGATGGTCGCTCTTCAACAGCATTGCCACCTCCTCGTGCCGATACTAGCAGCCCCTAGTTCTATAGCCGCGAGTCCTATAATATTTGCACTATAAGTTACGATCCCTCTGGCTGGGATCGGATCTGATTGGCTTCGGGAATCGTGCTTCTTTGATATTCCTTATCGTCGATACCAACTCCACTACTCTGATGTTGAAATTGTAATCTAACAACCTGGGATAAGTGGAATCCCGGGTCCCCGATACCTCTTTTTCTTGCAACGATCTGGTGTTCCGGCCACGATCAGTTCTTCTTTTGGGAGCGAACCTATCCGAGGACCGGAACCCTTTACTATCGCGTCCATTGGCTCTCTTGTAAGGCAAAAAGAGGCCTTTAGAAGATCATTGGTCTGCATCAAAATCATCCTTGAACTTATCCCGGTTCTTTTCTCGGTCCCGCCCCTTGGTTGATGTTGGGAACCCGAGCTGATCATCTTCTATCCTTATCTTTGATCCTTGGCGGTTATGGACATCCGCCATGTGGTCGCTTGAAATTCGAGCAGGCTTTCTTTCAACTTTCAGGAGGCATCGAAGCTCCTCGGGTTCAAGCCCTTAGTGAATGCCTCCACTACCCATTCATCTGGTATGGTCGGTAGAAACATCCTCTCTTTCTCGAATCTAATAACGAACTCCCATATAAATTAGACTCACCATGTGCGATCCTAAATATGTCCGCCTTCCTGGCTTGGACCTTTCTGGCCCTGGCATGGGCCTTAAAGAATGAATTTGCAAGCATTTCAATAGAGTCAATTGAATGCTCTGGTAAAAGCGAATACCATGTCATGGCCCCCTTCATGAGGGTTTCTCCAAACTTTTTCAGTAGAACCGATTCGATCTCATGTTGAGCCAAATCGTTCCCCTTCACAACTGTTGTATAATTTATGATGTGGTCCTGAGGGTCTGAGGTCCTATCGTATTTTAATATGTCTGGCATCTTGAACCTCTTCAGGATTAACTCTGGTGTTGCGCTCGGTTTGAACGGAGACTGAGTATTTTTTTCGAATCCGGGCCCTTCAAAATTGGTGGTGCGCCCCGAATCTGGTCCATTCGGGCGTGAAACTCCTTCGCATTCTCATCCATCCGCTCGTTCATCTCTCTCATGAATCTCACGAGTTCGGTTTTGAAGGGATCATTATCGTTGTCATTACCGGATCCGCTACCGGTCCCATCGGCACCGTCAAAGCCAACCTCACCCCTAGGGGTATTATTATCAACTCTTTGAGTCGTCTAATTTGCAGGAATGTCGGGCTGACTCGGGCCTCTTTTTTTTGTGTTATTGGAAGCGCCTGACAACGTTTACTTCAATTCCGTCATGACCTGGTTCTGCCTTGAGAGGTGGCCCATGATGGCCTTTTGTTGCTCTCTCAAGATCCTTACTGTTTCCGCAACGTATTCATCTTCTGTGTCATCGAGAGTTGGCTCCCGTGCATGTCGCGGGTACTGTCCTCCACGGGCCGGGGTTGTCTCATCCCCACATTGCGGGTGTCGCTGATTGAATCCTCATGTTGAGGTAGATTTTTGTGTCCCTCAACGTTGTGTGCGATATTGACATCGTTAGCTACCATTTTTTATTTTTTGTTAAGAAACAAATCAAACAAGTTAGTAATAAACGCAAGGATCAACTTAATTACGCAGTTGTCTAAGTCCCACGGTGGGCGCCAAACTATTTACCCGTAAAATGATACAGTTGAATTTGTTATGTAGTTTATAGACAAGCGAACTGATTTGATCCAAAATTGATGAATAAACTGGATTAAAAATAAGACTTAGTGATTAATAATCAAAGAAAATGACAAGCCTGGCTCTGGGAGCAATGTCTCCGAGGACAGAAATAAGAGCAATATAAAGCAACAAGTAAAGTTATTTTATTTAGCTTGAGAATGGAATGTAACATAAGTTTTTGCCTAGAATTTTCTGTGTTACAATGGCTGTTGAGTCTATTATTTATAGTTATACCTAGGGAAATAAGATCTTAGGATCAAGCCCCTCTTAAATGACAATAAAGAGGGTCATTGATGAATATGTAATGACAGGCCATGAATGCAAATATTCTCTGCAATGGCTGCCCATTTAATTCCAAGGAATATTCCTCATTGACTGTTATCTGATGGCAAGCATTTGATTCTGCTCACGTTGATCATATTCCCTTCGGAGTCAGTCTAATGTTAGTTGCAACTGTTGTTTCCGGTACTGGTTGCTACATAATTTACTTTCTACCTGTCCTCGATTTCACGTGTCGTGTTGTCATTCGATCATTTAATGTATACCAATTTTACCCTATACATTCGCATAACTAGAAAGTTCTAATACTTCCTTTGAAAGATAATTCAAGAAAACACTATGAATTCAGGTATTTAAAGTAATGCTATTTAATATTATGAAAATCATTAAATTTCACGACTCTATAATCATGTAAGATTTTCAATTAGATTGTTCATCTCTCACAATCTATAACTGTAAAAATTTCTTAATCTATGTTCTATTAGTAATTATTAGTATATTCCTTCTTTTTCACTTTAGCTACAATAGTGTCGAATTTATGTAACTAACTATGGTTATCTTGCAATATAACAATTTGTACACATTGTGGCCACTGTCAGTTGTCACCAAAAGAAAAAACGAATGGGGAAGAAATGAAACTTACATTGTGGCCAGTAACCTAAAATTTTCATCTTTCGGTTAACCCAGTAACTAGTTAACTGACATGTCCTATTTTACAAATCAACTCCATTCATTGTACTAGTTCCGATTTCTTTTGTAACTTGAAAGGGCAAGTAGTCAGCACTGTGGACCCAACTTCAAAGGACTGCCGTTTGATTTAGATCGAACTTTACCTAATCAAAGCTAACCCCTTATTTTTCGTCAAAATTCGAGATTCTCTTAGAAGCGTCATTTACGACTGGTGACTCAATCTACAAAAACCTTATTGGAAGTCTCTACTCTCTAGAACCTAAAGCCTATTGCACACTCTCTCCATTACACCATTAATTTAAGTTACCCATTCCTCCAAGCCTTCACTGAGCAACGCCAATCATTCGAGATTCACTGCTCTATTGAGTTCAATAGCATTTGTTTCGAATGGATGAGGATTTTGATATTCCGGCGATGGATCTGCCGGATGAAAGTCCAATAATGAAAGTCGGGGAAGAGAAGGAGATCGGTAAACAAGGTTTGAAAAAGAAGCTTGTTAAGGAAGGTGAAAAATGGGACACTCCTGAACCTGGAGATGAAGTCGAAGGTAAATTAATCTTAGCCTTAATAAACAAATTGTTTACGATGCTAAATAATCCCAATTTGTTCATTTTGTGCTCATAATGGTGATTTCAATTCATTCTCAGTTCATTATACTGGGACTCTGCTTGATGGGACCAAGTTCGATTCCAGTCGCGATAGGGGGACTCCTTTCAAGTTTACTCTCGGACAAGGTTAGAAAAACTTCCTCTACTCTTTTAACATTCATTGCTTTCTTTCTCGTAGACGAAGGTCTTTTATGGTGTAATGAATATTTGTATTAAATCGACATGGTTAGTGAAATTTATTTGCCGTGCCGTGTTATTATGTTTGCTTCTGCTTGAATGAAAATCAATCAGTTAAAACATTTATTGAATATTTTTTCCAAGTCCTCCAGTATTAAGAAATATGACGTCGTGTTAGTGCTGGACTTCCATCCAAGCTAACCTTGTGCCAAGCCATCAAGAGGGCCTGATTTGTCTATTCCGTCCAATGTTATTAAAAGCCATCCTGATTGTCCCCTCAATGTGAGGGGATATCCCATGCGCTTGGTATAAATGTGTGCTTCAAACAATGATGCGAATGCGATCACTATAACTTTGAGTATGTAGACTAATATCATTATTGCATATTGGATATACAAATTAATTATCTTAATTGCAAGTTAATCATTATAGTACCAAATTCACATATGTTTAGTATTCTTCCTAATGTTGTGATTGTGCGCTTCACTTCAAAGAATTGCTTTTTGCTTCGCGACCAATGGACCTTGTGAATTTTTTGAGCTTTTCACTTTTAAAAATACTGATACCGCCAGTTTCTTCTTTTTTTTTCCTCATTGATGTGCAAGGAGCTTGCACTAAGACAGTGTATAAGTACGGAGCCTTATGAGAAGGTTTAAACTATATGATTCGGAAGTTGTTCATGAGAATCTGAAATAGTTATACAGCAGCATGTATATTGATGTTTACTATGTATGCACGCATATACAATATATCTGTGAGAGATTGAGAGCTGATATTCACACTCACATGTGCATGCGTGTACATGTGTTTCCATGCATGTGTGTATTCGGAAAAGAATATGTACAGTTGGATTTGTGAGTAAGTTATTCGTGATTTTGAATTTGGTTTCTTTCATAAGTTTACTAGTTACTGGAAATCATTGATTAATAAAAGCCCTATTAAAACCAAGAAGTTAAGACTTTTTCTTTATGAGGAACTGTGATGTATCGACATATCTCTGTTTTGTGAATCAAGATGAGTGATATATTGTTGCATGTTTTGCTGATGCTGCTGTTCTTTCCTCATAGGACAAGTAATTAAGGGATGGGATCAAGGTATTAAGACGATGAAAAAGGGTGAAAATGCCATTTTCACCATTCCTCCAGAGCTGGCTTATGGAGAGTCTGGTTCTCCTCCGACTATCCCTCCAAATGCCACTCTCCAATTTGATGTTGAACTGCTATCATGGGTGAGTGTAAAGGACATCTGCAAGGATGGTGGTATCTTCAAGAAGATCCTTACCGAGGGAGACAAATGGGAAAACCCCAAGGATCTTGACGAAGTTCTAGGTATCTATCGTTTTTTAGTTTCATCAGAGGTCTGTGTGTATTTATGTGCTGGAGC